TATTTCAACCATTCTAATCCTGTCTCATTATTTGTTCACTCATTACTTATAGGTTTAATAGCCCAATCTATAGGAAGATCGGTTTCTGTATACCAATTGGAAAAATGTACCTGTCCTTGAACTACCAGAAATGGAGGTATAATATCCCCCTCACTATTGTTGTATATAATTGCTGTAGCCCATTCTCGATTGTCTGGCTGTATAGCTTTACTTCTGCCATATCTCTCAGTATTAGTAATAATTATACCAGTACTTATCATTTCTATTATAAAGCCTGTTTCATCGAAGTTTTATAAATCATAATCGAGAATACTATATTTCGCTTGCATATTCGATATAAGTTGGAATTAGTTTTCAATAAGTGTAGGATCTTTGTAGAGAGCTTTTTGAAAGTTATAAATACATTTAAAATGTGTTTTTAGCTTTATATGATGTTTGATAAATCAATAAGCCCAAAGCTTTCCAACTCTTTTTGTATTTTGAGATTTATCGTACAGGACAATAGCATATCACGATGGAGGGGAATGATTGGACAATAATGGTATAAGTATAAGAATGTGTATATCTCCTCATCTACAGTTAGAACTGATCTCTTCTCGTAGAGAAGAGATCGGATTATATACTGGGTGATCTTCGGGTACCGATCACGGGAGCGGTGATCGGTCCTGCGGCCGATCCGGTTATCGTTGTTCCGCTCCGGAGTATTCTATATAATGAATACCTGACCATCACATGATCTGATCCACGTGGTCTACAACACCGTTTCCGTCACAAGATTTAAGAATATAATTTGTTATATCTTTTATTCCCTTTTGTTTAGATGTAAAACCTCTCGAATCCATATTAATTATATATTGAATAATGATTTCCTCTTCTAATTCCAAGAGATTTTGAGATTTAGGTTGAATTTCTGTATAAGGAGGTATATTGTCAATTCTATGTTGTAATATTGATTGTGGGATATTGTATAGTATTACAGTCTTTCAAGTATTTAGCTTTTTATCTTTCTGAATAGTTGTGATAGTAAATAATATATAGGTTTTTTTATTATTCGAATCTATTATAGGTTGTTAATAAAATGTGTGTTAAAATGAGGGAGTCGAATTGAGGTGAAAGTGGGCTACCCACTGATATGGGCCACGCACTGATAAACCACGTTAATAAATCGTGTGTAGAAATTGAAGATATGAATTGAGGGAAAAGTGGCCCATTCAATAATATGGCCTACTCGATGATAAACCACGTTATAATAATTTGAATTTTCATATTATTTATATAATTAAAATTTATAGTTTTAATTTTTAGAAAATTTTATCAATAAATAAAGAAAGTGCACGGTTACGCACAGACGAATTTTGTATGTAAAAATGATGGCCCACTCGATGATATGGCCCACTCGATGATAAACCACGTTAGGGGTTTGTTCATATTGTATTGATCTGTGTGCTAGATAACTTCTTGAAAGTTGATTGATTAGTCAGATTGAAGGCGGTAGAAAAATCTCGGAGCTGCTGGAGTATATTTCAGAATTATTGGGTTACTTTGAAAGGGAATGAAAGGAGAATCTTTGGATGAATTTGGGTTGGGAAGCATGGGATTGAGATAATATAGATGGGAAATGAGACTTGGGAGGAGGAAGAAAAGGTAACAGGTTGAGAGAAATTGAATTGAAATGAAGGGAAAGGAGGAGGAGTGAGAATGAATAATGGATCATGGAGAGTTTTGGTGGATGGTAGATGCAGGGGGGCGATCGAAATGGGAATCGAAATGGAAAATATACTTCGAATTAACACCCAGCATATAACATCTGTGAAGGCTTCGGTTTAATACCTAGACAAGGTAAGCATTAGTCTTGACGTTTTTATTGGTACATGGGAGAAGATGTACGGGTGTTTTGAGATGTATTTTTGGGAATATCCACCGGGAAGATATGAATAGAACGACTAGGCTAAGAAGTAGGAATTGATATGTATGATGGAAGTAGTAAAATATTAGCTTAGGAAATTAGCAATAGATGAATTTTCTGTGAAATTGTTCAAATGGTATATCTTGAAAGTCTTGTACACATTGTGACAATGGGAGGTTTGGATAGAAAATTCAATACTATATTATTGGAGTTGTGTGGGATTCTGGGCAATAATAAGTGACTAGAACTAGAACATAACTTGAAGAATTTATGCTCGAGGTGTGATCTGTTTATCATTTTAAGATATGATTTTATTAGGTGATATATGTCTAAGCTGGTATGAATTCTGAGAAGCGACTGGTTCAAGCATTGTCTTATCAGATGGTATACTACAAAATTCGCAACGCAGAATTACTGATACTCAGAGGTTTCCATGACATAACTTGACAGCGTGTTTGTCTAAGAGCGATCATCTCACCATTCAATGCGCAATTAACTGACGCTTTTTTTTGGTTCTCTCAAATGAATAATATGCATTAGTTATTAATTATACTCTATCATTCGTCCATAACACCAGCGCATTACTCTAGAAGTACTCTACTCCCGCTTCGAATGCTTCCTATGTTTCCTATGCTTTCTATGCTTTCTAGGTGCATTCTCAGGCTGCGCAACCCCCTCGCTTAACAAAACGTTCTCACCATTCTTCTCAAACCATTGATCCACAAGATGAGTTGACCATTCCACAGCTCCCGGAACCGGTAGCCGATCATCAAGCTCCATATAATCTATCTCCGACATATCATCTGTTCCTGACAAAAACTCCGACTCTGTTGAGGATGCTAGGCCCGCCACATGATTTGGTCCCGTCAATAAACCATTCTGGATTCTCGCATTATTCTGAGCTCCTGCATTGCGCTGCGTCTTGGACTTTCCTTGAAGAGCCACCATCTTCTTCACTGCTTTATTTTCTCTAGCTTCTTCAGCTCGATTTTCCAACCATGCCCTAATGCTAGAGCTATCATCCGGTCCAATCTTCGTCGTTAAATTGTTATATGTTCCAACAGTTCGATAGGCAGGGTGATCAACCTTGCTGACTGCGAGTTTACGGAGCTCGGAATCGAGATCAGAGATGATGATTTTGATGATCGGTTTCAAAGGACCGATTTCGAGACATTGGATGTTCTTCTTGATGGAGTGGATACGTGCTTCGCGGCGGAGGAAAGAGTCTCCGAGTTCGGGTTCGATACGCTCGTGTAGTTTGGTGAGGATGATTTTGATGGGTTTGAGAAGGATGGAGTCGATTGACTGGATGGCTTCGATCTTCTGGCAGATATTGCACATCTTGTGAAGGGCTTCGTGGTTAGAAGATGGATTGTAGAAGTAAGTGATTTATCTCTGCAAGAGGTGGAAATGGGGTTTTATGTGTGAGGTTTGCTCGAGGTGTGAATAATGAGTGGAATTCTTTACTCAGTAATCGAGTGTTAGAGAATGTTCACTGGTTGTTATTGTGATTGGATTTTAGAGATAAACAAGTTCAGAAGTTGTTGCATTGACTGGAATTTGGGGAGGTTATAACTCAAAATATGTACAGCCAACCACAAGTGCTACATTGCTAGATGCACAATACGGGAATTACTGTTTGGCGTATTGAAAATAAAGCAGTATGTGTTGGTAATCATCTTAGATTTACGGTTTGTATCCAGAAGGAATAAGAAAGTACGGTTAATTTATCGGATAAAAAAGGGGGAGATGGCTATGAGTGAATCAGCAACAGCCAGGCATTATGATTTTATGTGCTCAAAAGAGTTGCAGTAATCTACACAGTAATGATTGAAATTAACTGAATGATAGATAATTCAATGTACGTTCACTATCCAGAAAAGGTAATGTATAAACCCAAACCAAACTCTCAAATCAACCGCATGATGCGGCTACACACCCGCTCATCTTCATCCAAGTCTCTATCATCTTCAGCCCATCTATCCCTTCACCGCCGTACAGATTATCATCAAAATAACCCAAGATATCGTCACCCAAAGAAAATAAACCAGAAACTCAAAGTTCTCATAGCTCAACGGTCTGATTATTCGCTTCGAGGTTCCAATATGCTAACATCAACCTATAGATAAACACTTATACAATGGCATCAACGCCATATGTCTTATTCACTTATCCTCAGGTATTCACGGTAGCCACGGTATTCACGGCATCAATCCACACCTCAAACACCTTATTCATCGGTAATCGCCCACCTCATCTTATCCGACGGTACACCTCAAATCTCAAAAATCCACTTCTCACATCTGGTACAACAAGTCCCGGGCCCGGGCATTCTGGTATATCCTCCATACGGTGTAAGTACAAATCCCTCCATCCAAAGTTAACAGATAACAGACTTGCGAGCTATGAGAACTGAGTAACTTTTTTGCTGGTTTTTTGCTATTTTTTTTCTTATGATCATTTTATGATCTGTTTGGACGGTGTGATGGATTATTGTTGAAAGATAATTTGTATGGAAGTGGGCATTATGGATTTTATAATTGAGAGAGTGAAAATGCGCTTCTCCATCATGTAGATGTGTTGAACTGAAGACATCGGAAGACTTATTAGGAATGAAATTGAAACTTCCCACGCTTAGATATTTGAGTAACCCTAGACAATATCTCAATTAAAGGATTGTCATTTCTTTTGACCGTCGCGCAAATCCAGATGATCTCATCGCTGGACTGAAATGAACTTTTCTTCATCTACCTATATCCGCCCACTTAAGAGCTTTAGTCTGATAGCTGATGAGAAAAAGACTCGAACCTCGATGAGATCTAGTTTGATGGTTTGAGCAAATGAAGGGTATGAGAGGCGTGTGATGATATGTGCGCGGAGGGGGAGGTGTTCTGAGTATGAAGGCTCATGAAATATGGTAGTTGAAAGGGTTTAAATTGAATTGCTTTCTGTAATATTGAAAATGTTCGGTTTAAATAGAGATGTGGTGCGAGAGTTTATGAATTGGTCACACTATTTGATGTCGACCACTTTTCGCAGGGTTGAGTACATGACTATAATTAACGCAACCCAATAAGAATGGAACATGATGCAATCACTTCATCAACTTATCAACCCTCTTCTCCAGACTCCTCTCAAACTCACTCACACCCCCCTCCAATACCTTGACTCCACCACCCTTAACAACATAAACCAATCTCCTCCTCTGTTCCTCATCTTCCTCATCCTCCCCCTCTTCCTCCTCCTCTCCCTCCCCCTCCTTCCACCCCTCCACCACTTTCCTAACCAACCACCGATCATGACTAACCACCACAACACCTCCATTCCACCCCCTCATCACCTCCCCCACCGCTCTCACCGTCCAAAAATCCAAATGCGTCGTCACCTCATCCAAAACCAATAACTGCGGTTCCTTCCACACCAACCTCGCCAACGCAAACCGCACAAGCTGACCACCAGATAACTTACCAATCGGAACATCCGAGACGATTCGTCCCTGCAAACCCAATCCATTGAGGGTACCACGAATTTCCTGCTCCGAGAGCACACCAGCGATATCGGATGTTAGGAGCGAGAGAGCCGTTAGCTCTGGAGTGCTGTGCGAGAGAACTTGCAGATCTTCGACGGAGTTTTGAGAGTAGTATGCGAGTCGTAAGCGAGGATGTTTGGTGAGGGTTCCCTTGGTGGGTTTGGCGGTTTCGGTGAGGAGGGAGAGAAGGGTGGATTTTCCGGCGCCGTTGAGGCCCACGATTCCAATGCGATCACCCATGTGGATGGTGAGATTGACGTTTTCTAAAACGAATGGTGCGGGTGCAGTGGTGCTTTTTGGAGATCCGGAAGTTGGGTAGCGGAATGAGATGTTTTCTAATGAGAGCAATGGGCCGGGAAATCGTAAATCGGGTGCTAGAGGGATTATCATCGAGATGCCTCTTTCCTCGGGTGGAATCTCGATTTCTTCTCTGGCTGTTAAATGATACCCAACTAGGTCGCGGTTGAGTTTGAATCGAGTTCCTTTGGCGGATACTTCCATGCCCATTCGATTATCTAATTTCTTTTGACGAGATTTAGCTTGGCGGAGTTTATTCTCATCGCCGGTTGCTTTTCCTTGTTTGATGTTTTGCTGAATGGTTTGCTGGATGTGTGATTTTTGCTTTTCTTGAGCGTCGCGCATTTTTGTTAGATAAAGAGTTTTCTCGCGGATAGTGGATTCATATGTAGCCAAGGATCCACGGAAATAAGTCAGAGCCTGGCTGCGCAGAATGATAAGTTCTTGAGATGTGGCGGTGATGAAATCGCGATCGTGAGAGACGATTACAATGGTTGGAGGAGTGGGGGTAGATTCCTTGAGGGTTTCGAGATATTTTTGTAACCAGATGATTCCGAGGAGATCGAGGAAATTGGTAGGCTCGTCGAGGATTAGAATGTCTGTTGGTTGGAGAAGGATGGAAGCGAGATTTGTACGCATTTTCCATCCTCCGGATAGGGTGTTGACTGGTTTATCCAGGTTTGCTTTGGGAAATCCTAGACCAGAGAGGATATTTCGTGCTTTTGATTCGATGTCGGCGAGTCTGGTGGGCTCTAGCTGTAGTTGTACCTCTGCAAGGAGTTCTGCTGCTAAGTCTGTCTCTTCTTTAATCGTGGTTTCATCAATCTCCTCATCTTTTTGTTTGATTCTATATCATGATTTAGAAGTCGGACGCCAATTTGGTTCATGCCCACTTACCGTTCCTCGGAATCCGCAACAATTTTTTCAAAAGCAATCAATGCTTTTCTTGCTGCCATACCACGTGTTCCACTCCGAAGTCTAGCATCCTTATCTTTCTCGAATAACTCCTTCTTCAGTCTTTCATGCTGTATTTTCCGAAATGCCCGTACAGGTGTCAATGCATCTTCTTGACTATCCACAGCCTTGGACAATACTAAGGGATTTTGTCAATGCCCATATAGGTCATGCACATGCAACTATTGGATTGTCAAGACGTACCGTCAACTTCATGCTGAATTTCACTTCTTGAAGTAGCTCTATCGATAACTTCTGCCAATACTGACAAATTACTTCCCCCATTTTCTTCAGATTCACTACCTCCTTCATCACCGGCATCTTTTGAATCTGCATCTGTTTGCTGCAAGATGGATATCCTAGTCTGTACAGGAATACCAGGGATCAATTTCTCCGCAATGGCCTTCAACAAAGCTTCATGTGGCACCAATTATTAGGAATTTCATTTCCCTTAGCTCAAATTGGAAAAGGGGGGACATACTCGATTTTCCTGTGCCGTTTCTTCCAATCAATGCATAGCATATTCCAGCTTTGAGTTTCAAACTCGCATTGGAAAGAATCTCAAGACCTTCTGCTTTAGATTTTCCCTTTGACTTCACACCTGATTTACCGGATGCTGTAACCGTGATATTTAAACCTTCAATATCGAGCTACGATATATATTGATCAGAATTCATCTTCAGTTGGAATGCTCTTCAAAATCGCCAAGAGAATGGACGTATTTACCTCCTGATAAACTGGATTCTCGATGTGAAATCTCGTTTGTTTACACGAACACAAGATGGTGGTTGCTGATTCTCCTTGAGACAACATTTTTCCTTCTTACCTCAATAATTCGGATGAACAATCGATTTTTAAAGAAACAAATCAGAAGAAATCCGAATCAAAATAAAGGAATGAAAATAACAATTAAAATTATCAAAGTACTAAACCTGATTTTAACGGCATTAAATTCAATCGAGGATGCCGTCGTTAAATAGTTGATATGCATGAATACGGTTTAGAAAGTACCAAGACCCAACTGACCCCCCTCAAGCTTTGGTTGCCGCTTTCCGATGTTGATCTCATCGGCCTGACTCACATGTTTCGGATTCAGAAAACTTCTCGTGTAACTTCAACACACAACATGAAAGGAAAGGTTACGCATTCAAGTTGAATTAGAGCTTCAGAAATTTAATAGTAATAAGTGAGTCACATCCTCAGCGCCGTCACATTGATAGATTTGCGCAGGTGGATGAATGAGTGAAGAGAATAGCTGTTTCGGTTAACCTATCATCTAGTCTAGCTGGAGCGGGTGCTACTTCAACTGCGCCACTCCTAGTTCTATGGCTGAGCTCCACATACAACCACGTGATACTGCCTTCTGCACCTGACTTCTCGAACCTATCGCTCTCATATCCAACATCTTTACATGGAAATACTAACCATTGTCATTCTTGATCAACGAAATAGTACCGGTGAACCAATACCCAATACCCAATACCCAATACCCAAATCCCAAGCATCAAGATGTCCACCGAAACCCCCAATCCCCTCTACGTCCCTGAAACCCTCACCAAGATCCTCTCCCATCTCGACATCAAGACTCTCCTCCTCTCTCAACGCGTTTCCAGACAATGGGCCGAATTAATCCAAACATCTCCCCATCTCCAAGAATGTCTTTTCTTCAAGAACGCCACTCGAAATACAGAGGTTACGCTTAATCCGCTATTGGCCGAGAAGTTCCCAGCTTGGTTTAATACTATTGAAGAAGAACCATCGAATCAAGTGGGACATCAAGTTTTCAACAAGCTGGAATGGGCTTCTTCACCCGACGTCGCGATGGCTTATCAGAGAGCTGATGCTAGCTGGCGTAAAATGCTACTGCGTCAGCCCCCACTTGAAGAAATGTTGATTGATTACACCAGGATTGATAAGCAGGGGCTTTTTTTCTGGGACGTAAAGGTTGAGAAAAAGGAGGGCATCAGAATGGGTTTAGCATATGATTACATGTACCAGGCTATGTATAAATGCGTATTCGCCGGTGTGGATCGACCTATTTACAATCATGAATTTATGTTTGATTGGAGAGAGGAAAAGGTTGCAGCGGGAAGGTCGAAAGAGCGTTGCTCGAGAATTAAGGTATGGGTGAAGCAGGGGTGTAGTTTTTGTGGGGAAGGTTGTGAAGAATGTAGAGATGTCAATGGCCATCACAGAATATTCAAAAGCGAGGGATTTGAGAAGGAATCGGCAAATGAAGATGCATATTTGAAGATGATGCAGGATGAAGGCTTCGAAACTTGGTGAAGTACGGAGTAATAGGAAGTAGGACTAGATTTCTCAAGTCATCTGGTCATTCGTGGTATGGACTTGATTGAAGAGTTGAGTATTCTTAATGAGACAATATATGAATAATGAAATATCACTCCCAGTGACGAATCCAACCAATCAGAATACACTCGCCGAATTTATTGTAGTAACCGATACTTACTAGATCACGGATGAAGAATAGCATTCTCGGAGCTCTTTTCATCCGCATGGAATGGGATAGACATGAAGAATCCAGAGTATGAGGGAGAGAATAGAATGCAACCGCAAGATAAGAAATTGTGTGAGAGATGTAGGAAAGGAAGGTATGATAACAGCGTGCTTTAAATGGGGAAGAGAGTAGACAAGAGGGATGATTTGGTGGAGATCATGTATTTTAGGTGCATGACTCCAACGATAAATAAAATTAGAAGTTCCATCGCTAGGATGAGGATACAGATGCGAGGTGGATATTGGGGTGTAAATGGTAATATATGATCAAGGAAATGAATGTTTGTGTTTTGCCCACAGCTCAGAATTGAGGTATCCCGACAACCGTTTAGAATCGAAAGACATTATCCGAATCATACCCGCGTATACCCTAAAAGTTTGATGTGCGTATTCGAACGCCCAGTCACACCAGCACTCGCTGCTACTTCCGCCTTGATGGCCTCGTTTTGACACTATTTGATGGGTTATAAACTCATACTTCACCACAGAGGCACCAAATCATCCGGCCATTATGATATCAGCAGTAACAAAGTACATGTATTCTAATTTTACTATCCGTACTTCTACAAACAGTCAAAATTAATGACTGACCGATCTTTCCACCAACATGTGGCTATCGTCTTTTCTCACCACCTTTGAACTTCATGTATGAATCAATTATAGGAAAGAATTTTGTTATTTCTCTATTCAACTCTCAAGCTTTGTAATCTTGCTTCGGTTGCAATAACCTGGAAATTATTAGTAATTGAAGTGTCAAGTGAGTGTGAAGGATGAATTGAAAGTAGAACTTACGTCAAGAGCCTGCTGAACCTCGAGGACCTTTCTAACCTCACCCAACCAATCCTTACTCAAAGTCTTTGCCCACCCCTTTAGTCCGTTCATCTCTCTAGCTGCACCATCCAAATCGCCCTCCTCGAGGAATGTCTCCGTTCTAGTCAAAATACTTTCAACATCATCACCAGTAGCCAAACCCTTCTTCTTGAACAGAAGCTTGCTTAGAACGTAACTTGAAGCATGACTAGCGACACCAGCCTCTTCAGGTAACAACGAAGCTTTGCGGACTTCAGATGCAACACGACGGAAACGGTCAATGAGGGCAGCTGAGCTTGGAACACCCTTTTGATAAGCGACTGGGTTGATGGATGCAATGGCTGCGTTGACAACTGGATCATCAGATGCAATTTCCTTAAGGGCAGCAAGTTCTCTGGTGAAAGGGCGTGGAATTTGAGACTTTTCGAGGTTAGCACGAACGGCTTCAACTGCAACATGAAGATGTTGAGTCTTGAGGTTTGCGTCGACAACAGAATTGAAGTCACCAGTAAGCTTCTCGAGATCATTGACAGTATTAGTCAACTCGGAAAGCTTGCCGAGGCGGCCTTCACGTTCTTCCTCCACGCGATTTCTGACATCAGCCAAGAATGCACGCTTGAGTTCAACTGCTTGCTCTGTCAAAAGATTCTTGAGTTTTTGCTCATTGACCTCATTTGCGCGATCGAGCTCAGACTTAAGCTTTTTCTCGTAGTTCTCGTGAATTCTCTTGCGCTCGGCTTCGTACTCAGCCCTGTATTGAATTTCCTGCTCTGCTTGTTGGTTCTTGAAGTTTTGCATGAGTTGCATAGCAGCACGGTCGAATTCTCCATCGTGAGACTTAATCTTCTCGTCAGCTTCCTTCAATGCTGCCTCCTTCATAGCCAAGATCTTGCCTCCAACTCTATTCAATTCCGACTTGGCCTTGTCCATAGTAGATGTAAATCTAGCATTTGCATTGTCGGCATTAACGACTGCAATGATATCATTCATAATCTTAACCAATTCTTGAACTACAGGCTCATTTCCATTAGGGATATTGATTGGGTCAATTCGCTCAATTTTCTTGTATGCTCTAGATGGCTCATTGACTTCTGGGTCCCTTTCAACATTGCTTGACTTGACTTCTGAAGTGGCGCGCGCAGCAGCTGGAGCTGGAGAGTTCTTTACTGGTGCATTTTCACTCTTAACTTGCTCAACAGCCTTGACTCTATCGGCTGGTTTTGAGTCTTGTGGTGTCTGAACAGCTTCCGATGGCTTCGCCTTGTCCTTCGCGGAGCTAGTGTGTCGTCCAGTAGATTTCTTGTTCTCATTGGCAACCCTCCATGATACACCACTTTGACTTGGGATTTTGACCTGTTCGCCAGTATCTCTTGGAGGCCTTGGAGCTCGGTTTGCGATCGAAGGGAAACGCTTTCTGAATTCTTGTTCCTCGAAATAAAGGACCGCTTCCTCCCCGAAAGGTACATATTCGGTAAAGAAGTCATGGAAATTATCGTTGATCCGAGAATAGTAAACTCCTCCACCGAAGCCCAATGTTGTTAATAAAAATAATGTTGTGAAGAACTTGCGGAAGAAGCGTCTCTTTGGCTTTGGTGCGGGAGGTGGTGGGATGGAAGATGGAGGTGGAGGCCCTGGTGACTTGACTCCTGGAGGAGGGGGAGTAAGAGGAACATTTTCCGCAGGAATTGTGGTAGAGGTTGGAGTTGCTGGTGTTGGGGCGGTATTTGGTGTTACTATTGCTCCAGGTGGTAATGGTTCAGATGTAGCCGCGCTGGCAGATCCTGGAAGTACTGGAGGTCTCGAGTCTGCTATACTTAGTTTATCGGCATAACTTCTCTAGAGTTGCAAAAACTATCAGCATTCATATCACTACTTAATTGTTCGAGATAGAACATCTTGAAGCTTCATACCATAGTATCCGAAATCACCCGGCTATTTTGTGCTCTCCATTGACGTCCAGGACTGACGACGTTGGATCTGAGACCCAACGTCCTCGAAGATCGAAGACCAACTCGCAGCATGACGGGCTGCGTGGAGCGATAAGTTATTTTTGAGGTTGGTGATGTTAAAACTGCGCGACCTCTTCTGCCAAATACACAATTCAAGATAAAAACACTTTCAAGTTTACAGAAGCTCGGACCACACCACTTTTTGGCTGATGATGTAGAAAATCCCAGGGTCGGTATTCACATTAGCCAAATGTGCAAGGCTACGAAATGTTGTCAAAAATTTGATTTATATTTATTGAAACAATTCCTATGGTGATCATTCTCTAAGCACAGATTCTTGTGCAATAAAAGATAATTGTTTTAAATGCATGGTTCTATTGCATATCGTACATCCCAAATGCCGAAGAACTAATTCATCAAAAAGGAAAAAAACAAGGAAAACCCTCACGCCTGGCAAGCAGGAAATCTGCTGCATATCAAACCCCTTCCTACGAGAATTTAGAGACATCAAGGTATTAAAAAAACGATTGCTCTCGTAAATGTTGAAGTGGCCACATGTATGCTGCTGCCCTCAACCAAGCAATCTTGTTCGAAAAGGAACACTATTTGTGGAAAGTCCCGACAATAGCTCATTCTTGGTATCAAAGGTTCATTCCACCCAATATGTCCCATACTCCACCGCGTATTCATCACAAAGTTTCTCTAACAAGCACATCCTGGACCTGCTTGTGTTCCTGGAGCTTCGGGCCTAAGATCAACACCAGTTCCCCTTGGACCACCAGCTCTTGGATTTCTTGGACCGGCTTGATCCAATGGTAGTTTCTTTGCAATTGCTGTGAACAATTCCCTTACGTTCTCAGATGTCTTAGCAGAAGTTTCGAAGAATAGTAAACCGGCTTCTCTAGCATAATTCGAAGCGTCTTCAGTAGTAATAGCACGTTTATCCGGTTGTTCCGTAACTAAATCGAGCTTGTTTCCGGCTAAAGCAATGATGATATTCTCGTTTGCTTGTCGTTGAAGTTCTTTTACCCAAGATTTGGCCTTATCCAATGAGGCCTATCACATATGTTAGCGAAGTACTTTCCAATTTAGAGTCGGAGGAGCGTACAGCTTGTGTGATGTCATAAACAACAACAGCACAGTTGGCATTTCGATAATACATGGGCGCTAGCGACTTGTATCTCTCTTGTCCTGCGGTGTCCCATATTTCGAATTTGACTGTGGTGTTTTCGTCGAGGGAGATGGTTTGAGTTAAAAATGCAGCGCCAATAGTACTCTCGCGGTCTGTCGTATGGTCAGCGGTGTGGTCTTTGTTCATCCGATATCCCCTGTTTGAATTGTATCCAGGCTTTTCATATAAGAACGAGATTTGTTGAAAGGCTACTCACAATCATCGAATTGATCCTGGTTTAAAATGTCAGCTTGAAATCATGTCATTGCTTGGAGATGATCAAAAATACCTTAACAAATCGTAAAACCAATGAACTCTATGCCGAATATTAGCATTTAGAATAAATCCAACTAGCAAACGGTAGCTCATACCTTTCCGACGGCAGATTCCCCTATCATGAAAGATTAGCAACTGATTTAACGAAGATTTCAGAAACTCATGGGAATAGCCTACCAAGTAACACCAATTTAAACTGCGCAAATCGTGAGTTTCCAGCACGGGAGCCTGGTGGACCTCGAGCAGCCATGTTGAAACGTGAATGTGGTTGTGGTTGTGAATGGGATTTAATGGAATGGGACAGATCGCTGGGCAAGCTGTATATGCTCGTGTAGTACTTGGGCGGCTTTAATTCGTAGGAGGAAGGCGGAAATGGTTGAGGTAAAGTTAAATGCTATCTTGCTTGATCTTGAGAAACAGCGCAACCTGGAAAGTGACGACGATCCTAAATCGCTTCGATTACTGGGACAATCATGATCACGTGGAGCATTGTTTAGATGCGCTTTGAACGTCAGCCTATCAAAAGGTCATCATCAAATGCTAGATTCACCCCCGAATCTGAATCAGTAGCTGTCAAAACTGGAGCTAATTCTTCGATGCTACCTGGGTACTGTAGAATTATATTAACAAATATAGTAATTCTAATGAATATGTCTTACTCCTTTTATATTTGTTAATCATTTCAAGTGATTATGAATATCAAGAAGAGTTCTGCACTCCGTACTTTGAAACTTTAGATATTGATCTGGAACAAACAGAAAGGGACGAGATTAGTAATAACAAGGGGGTGCTTCTAGGGCGTATCCACCAAGTGTTAATTTTAGATATTGCGAGGCTCCGAGCTTCGAATTAGAGAACAGCTATATCAAGCTTGACTGAATTATAGATCAGATCGTACGCGCCAGCAGAGGAATTTGTTTGTGAGAACCAGACAAGAGAGGAACTACGATACACACTATCTGCAGGATAGATCAGTCGAAATGGCTAGTTCTTTGCCCTTCAGGGATATCAACGTCCATGCCTCAACATCGCATTACGCATTCACATCACCATCTTCACCCTCAGCACCAACACTTGTAGTTGATCGACCAACAGGAGATATACGACTTAATGATGGAGCACTCTTGGGGGGAAAGCGTGTATCCAGTATTGCTGGTATCTTGGGCATGATCAAACTACGACTGGGTATTTACAATGCCACATTATACCAGAGTTGGAACTGATTTCTTCCTAGACAAGTACATCATTGTAATCACAAAGGCACAACCTATTGGAAGACTGAAGGGACATATGGTATTTAAAATCGTCACAACCGAATTCCTACCTCTCCAAGAACGAGCGCTTCGAGACCAAGACGAAGATACCTACCTTAACCTCCTCAAGATCTTCATCAAGTCTGCACCGATGTACTTTTCATATTCTTCCGACATTACCAACACTTTTCAGAGACAATCGCAACTCGACACATCAGCTCCTCTATGGAAGCGAGCAGACGACCGATTCTTTTGGAATAAATTTATACAGTCAGATTTAATAGATTTCCGAACATCTGGGTCTCGACATCAACACGGACAACAACCAGCGGCGGATCCATATATCTTGCCAGTTATGTTTGGAATGTTCGAGATTGTTCACACTCAAGTCAAGTCTACCCCATTGACCTTTATCTTGGTTACTCGAAGATCCAGATACCGAGCTGGAACTAGATACTTTTCTCGAGGTGTGGATGAGGATGGGCATGTTTCGAACTTCAATGAGACGGAACAAATTATCATTCTGAATGATAATAGCAGTGGGCTTGGTGGATTTGCCGGAGGTGCTGGAATGCAAAATGGCAAAGTTGGAGGATCAGGCGACAAGGAGATGCAGATATTGTCATATGTACAAACCAGAGGAAGTGTCCCGGTATTCTGGGCAGAAGTCAACACTTTACATTATACACCAAAACTTCAGATTCGAGGAGTTGAAAGCGCCGTTCCTGCCGCTAAAGCGCATTTTGACGAGCAAATCCGAATTTATGGGGACAACTATCTGGTAAATTTGGTAAACCAAAAGGGACGCGAGCAGCGGGTAAAAGAAGCATATGAACAGATGGTAAAGATTTTGGTTTCGGTCCCAAATGAAAGCAGACAAAGTGATCAAATTACAGATGAGAAATTCCGGGTGGTTGAGCCTAGTGGAAAGAGACAAGAGATGGACAGACTGCACTACGTATACTTCGATTTCCACAACGAAACCAAAGGATTAAAATGGCACCGAGCACAATTATTACTTGACCAACTCAACTCTGCCCTTGAAGCACAACAGTATTTCCGTGGAATTGATATGCCAGCTGATATCGATGGTCGCCTCGAAGTTCGCAATCACCAGACTAGTGTTGTCCGCACAAATTGCATGGACTGCCTTGATAGAACAAATGTTGTCCAAAGCATGCTTGGCCGATGGACTCTAAACCGGCAATTAACAGATCTTGGTGTTCTCACTCGTGGCGAGACCTTTACAACAGCCGACCCCGAGTTTGAAGTTCTTTTCCGTAAACTTTGGGCCGATAACGCTGATGTCGTCTCCAAGTCCTATTCCGGAACAGGCGCTCTCAAAACAGATTTCACAAGGACAGGTGTGAGGACCAAAGCTGGTGCTCTTCAAGATCTACAAAATTCTATCACGCGTTACGTGAGAAATAACTTCCTAGACGGACCTAAGCAGGATTCATTTGATCTATTCCTAGGCTACTATCTTCCTAGTAATGCAAACATTGGCTCTCATCTTATTACTGCCGATAGGAGACCATTACTCATTCAAAGCATCCCTTACATCCTCGCCTTCAGTATCTTCTTCGTTCTTGTTGGCCTCTTCACCCCTCGTCTACCTAATGCCGCTGTATTACCGTTGAGAATTTGGGTTATGGTTTGGTTGGTAGTAGGAGCATGGTGTGCTAATTTCGTTTACGGCAACGGAATGCTATATGTACGTTTCTCTCGCTCTTTATTTTCCGTTCCCTCATACCCCTGATACTACACTTTATCATCTCCTTCTTTCCTTCAAGCATTTCTACTAACACTTTCTTTACAGGTCAACTGGCCCAAGCTCAATCCTCGCCCCTGGGCAACAGAAGGCTACAATGAAGCAATAAGCAACGCACGCAAAGATAAATTAGTCGGTGGGCTAGTAGCAACTAAGCACGAACGTGGATTAAGCACAGCTCGTTACGCGAATGCTGAGGAAGGAAAAAAGAGAATCGAGTAGATTTCTTTTCTTTTCTTTAATATTCTTATTTCTCTGTTACCCTTTTTATTACCTAGAATGCTTAAAATTGCATGCAAGCTCTTTAATTACTTATTTGAGATTTTTATTGCTGATGCGTGTGATTCCATTCTCTTTTACGTCTGTTTTGTTCGGGGCGCGAGTGGATGGGGAGTGGAATGAGCAGTGATTGTCATACATGGGGAATGTACGCGGGCACGAGCGTGCATGATTTAGATCTGAAAAGATGTTGAATTTTCAAAATTGCGTTCTGAGAATGTGATTCAGGAGGAGGAATGGTTGAATGGATGGATGGGACTGGACAGAATTGGGAAAGGGCTGGGTGGGAGGGAAATGGGAAGGGAAAGGGGTTCAAGTAAACTGTAACTCTATAGTATAGATATTGTATAAGGATTTTGGTGTTACCATTTTACAGTTCTTGATTCCATGTGTTACTGGTTATGGTGTTATTTCTGGGTGAGGTCAGCGTTTGATGATGAGTGTTTTAGAGTCTGCGGAAAAAGCAGCGTGTAGAGGCTTTTGCGGAAGGGGTCTTGTATGGCGTATGGATTCTAGGGGCCTGTACTAGGATAGGTTATATGGCTATATGACCTGTGTGTTATATGGTTATATGACCTATATGTTATATCAGTATCAGAGAAAGGGCCCTTCGATGATGGGTGAGAGGGGATGAGGGATAATATTTGTCCAACTAGGATCATCTATAGGTTGGAAGGTGGAGGTTTTGGGAAAATGTTCATGTCTGCAATATTGCTTCACCGCATGCTGAGTCGTTACTGCAGGCTGGTCGCCGGTAATTTGATGGCTTGTAAAATAAACCTGCATTATTGATAAATTGGGATATATTGATAAATTATGAGATCGCAGCGCTCAATGTGCTTTCCCTTTGTAGTTGTAAGCTAGTGGGCTTATTGCAGGACTTTTGGAGCCAACGCACCTCGCTTCCCTATTCCCGTTGGCTAGCTGCAGATGCGAGTATCCTCCTACCATTCCGCCATCCGACTTAAAGTTCATGAGTGTCTAATTGAAAATGGGTATTCAACTTTCGTTTGTGAAAGTGTAAAAGTTTAGCCTAGGTGAAAAGACCGATCTTTGATCTCTGCTTGTTAATTCTTTCCATCTGCGGTTCTTTCTTTCCGCTTTTGAATAATTATTACCAACCACTCCTTTGTGGTATCTTCTCATTTGAAGTTTCACATTCCTTCTCACAGCTCGCAATTTTCCAAGACTCTTTACTTGCTAAACGACCGAAAAGCGTACATTCCTCGTCTCCCCCATTAATTTCATCTCAGTCACACTCAGAATGTATTACTGTGACCCTTGCGACCGTTATTTCAATAGCGAAAATAGCTACAATCAACACGTTGAGAATAGCTCCGCACATCATAACTTTGAACCTTCTGATGATGGGTACTCCTCCAGCAACGCAGAACCTGAATTCGAGTGCAGTGGATGTGATAGTTGGTTCTGGTCTAGCGTGGCTCGCGAAAACCATCATGTCTCCCAACATGGTGATCGTTATTGTACGCCTTGCAAACGAATGTTCATGAACGAAAATAATCTGATGCAGGTATGTTATTACTGGAAATTTAGTGTCTCTTTGACAAGTTTGGAGCTTGGTGATGTTCAGTTTGAGATTGAAAACTGACATCCTCAGCATCAACACTCTAAAGTCCACCAGGGATTCCCAATGAAATGCCCTCTCTGCCCCACTCAGTATCCAACCACATCAGCTCTCAGCAATCATCTCGAATCCGGCCGTTGTCCCTCTGGCTCGAACCGTGAAAGGATCAATGCCGAGATCCGTCGTCTAGACAAGAACCACAAAATTACTACACCTCTGATGGAATATAGTTCCCCCTCCTCTACCAACATCGCCACTGAGCGCTCTTGGAATGGCTTCTGCTATGAATGTTCTATTTGCCATCACGGATTCAGTACCCTACAAGGATTGAACAGCCATTTGAGAAGTCCGGTACATGATCA